CTGTAATGGATCGAGATGAAAATGGCGCTCGGGGAATCTTTCTCCGGGCATTGCTTGATGGAGCCTTGATTCTCTCCTGAGAAATAGTTGGAAAAATATTAAATAAAAATTTTTTACATTTGAAACGTTCATAAAAACTACGCCAATGGATACCCCCATAACACGCACTTTATAAGAAATAATACTACTTTTTTCGTTTCCTTTGACAGAATCGTAAGTTTACAAATATAAACATTTTTTTATTTCATATTTCTCCAATTTTTTTATAAAAAAATTAAAAAATAACCGCATTTTCTTATAGCGCATGTGCTATACTGTGTATTGGTATACAGTGAGACTCCTCTAAATGCATACTGTCGGGACCGTAGAAATTTTATGCATCACAAGGGGTTATGCATTTGGAGGATAGTCACATGATATGAAGGAAAGACAATTGATTGGATGTCTATTTGCCGATAAATATTTACAATGAAATGCTTTTGCAAACGAAAATATTTTTTTTTCATGACAAAAACAACCTTAACGAATATACAAAGACGTGAAATTTGCTTGAAGAGGCCGGTCAATCCAAATATCACCCAAAAAGATCTTGTTGAATGGTGTAAACAGACGTTAAAAGTGAAAGTCGATCAAGCAACGATATCTCGATTGCTAAAGCGTTCAAGTGAGTTCTTGGATATAGATAAACTGCATAAGCCTCTTCAGAAACGTGCCCAAACCGTAAAATTTCCTGACCTTGCTATTCTGTATTATGCAAAAGAAATTGTAATTGTACATGTATTATTATACTGGGTTCATATCATTTCATTGACAACTAAAGGAATATTTCGAAATAATAATACTAATGTTGGTGAGCAAATGATTTCCGAAAAAACCGATAACATATTACGTGATTATGCATTTAGAATACTATGTAAAGATTTATAAAATCGATGCATATGCATCTAAAGGGTGTATGCAATAACAGATAGGTCCGAACTTGGGACCAGACAAAAGTATGCATTTAGAGGAGATGCATTTAGAGGAGTTTCACTGTAGTTGTTATGGGCACCCCAAATTAGTAATGCCTACTATTGATGTGTTACAATCCATCCGGTGATTACCATTGCATTTCCAAGCTACATTAATATTAACTTGACGCTAGAAATATTTAAATGGACCAACATGCGAAAGCTTACACAAGTAGGTATAAATCTTAACTTACTTGATAGCACATCAATTGAATAATCTGGAAGAAATAGTTTATGAAATGCCCTATGACGATACATTTATTAGAAGAACTTGCTCGGTGCAAGGTCACGAGTGCAAATATAAACGTCACATGCGACTAATTTAACTAAGGCGTTTGTTATCGTTATACAAAATCACATGGAAATCACAAGCATGAATAAATTTTTTGTGGCGAGTGTAGCAAGTGTGGCGTCACAAGGTATATAAAAACTGAAAGGCCTTAGTAAGCATATGTTACTTGTTAGATCCAACAACTACAACAACACGATTCACACAAAAAGTTATTAATATCACAACATGGCAACTTCGCTATTTCTGCGTACGAGTAGACCGATGCTGTCTCTCGTGCGTCTGCGTAGTCTGACCTTTTCACCTTCCTTAAAAAATGCTCGTTTCGCCACGCCAATGCTAACCACCATTCGCACTAAAGCGTCGACCGTAAATGCATATCAAGAGGCACCCTCTATTAATGACGCATTTTTACAAGGCAATGCAGCGACTTATATAGAGGAAATGTATGAAGCATGGAAGAAGGATCCAAAATCAGTTCATCTGTCATGGCAGGTATATTTTCGAAACATGCAGGCCGGAATTAAACCCGAAATAGCATACCAACCTCCACCAACGCTGATTCCGCTTACTGGTGCGGGAACATTTGCGTCGCCTGACATCGAATCTGTATCAGCTGACGTGACTGACCATATGAAAGTGCAATTATTGGTAAGGGCCTATCAAGTTCGTGGTCATCATGTCGCAAAGCTAGATCCACTCGGAATCACAACTGGAGATAAAGATACAGCCGCTAGGGAACTTGCGCCGGCTCATTATGGATTTACAGAGAGGGATTTAGACAAAGTATTTTCTTTAGGTCCGGGTATACTGCCAGGATTTGCTTCCACGACTCCATATATGACGCTACGCGAAATCGTAGAAGCATGTCAGAAGACGTATTGTGGAACTATAGGGATTGAGTATATTCATATTCCGGATCGAGTCCAATGTGATTGGATTAGATCGCGTATTGAAATTCCTCGGCCATTCCAATATACCACTGCCGAGAAGAGGATGATACTTGATCGATTGATTTGGTCAGATTCATTTGAACGCTTTGTAGCAACAAAATACCCAAACGAAAAACGGTTTGGATTGGAAGGAGGTGAGAGTTTGATTCCGGGAATGAAAGCGCTGGTATGTGGATTTGAAACTTTTAACCGGTTCATCCAGTTGGACAACATACATAAGCTTTAGGTTACCGCATTTCTTGTACTTATTACTTTTTTTCTTGATGCTTGTTTGATAGATTGATAGATCCGTCGACCTGGGAATCGAATCGATAGTACTTGGAATGCCGCACAGAGGTCGTTTGAATGTATTAAGCAACGTTATTCGTAAGCCCAACGAATCGATTTTCTGTGAATTCCGTGGTACAACTGGTCCATCAGAGGAAGGCTCTGGAGACGTGAAGTACCACTTGGGGATGAACTATGATCGTCCGACACCTTCTGGCAAGCGCGTTCATTTATCATTGGCTGCAAATCCTTCTCATCTGGAAGCTGTCGATCCTGTAGTACTTGGAAAAACACGTGCTATCCAGTTCTATATGAATGATGAAGCTTTCCGACATCGATCAATGGCGTTATTGCTACACGGTGATGCTGCGTTTGCCGCTCAGGGAGTGGTATATGAAACAATGGGTTTCCACGATCTTCCTAACTATACGACCGGGGGTACTGTTCACATTGTAGTAAATAACCAAATTGGTTTCACTACAGACCCACGTTTTGCTCGCTCGACACCGTACTGTACGGATATCTCTAAAGTAGTTAACGCGCCAATTTTCCATGTCAACGGTGATGATGTGGAAGCAGTTACGTTTGTATGTCAACTGGCTGCTGAGTGGAGACAGACGTTTAAAAAGGAGGTGGTTATTGACATTGTCTGCTACCGAAAGTATGGGCACAATGAAGTTGATCAGCCTAGCTTTACACATCCCAGAATGTACAAGCAAATCAGTAAGCAAGTGCCAATATTAGAACAGTACGTGCAAAAATTGATTAAGGATGATGTCTTTACCGCAGAAGAGATTGCGGAACACAAAAAGTGGGTGTGGGAATTGTTAGAACAGAGTTATGCTAAGAGCAGTGGCTATGAAACAACAAGTCGAGAATGGTTATCGAGTTCATGGAATGGTAAGCTCTCGTTCGCAGTTATTAGTGTATGTCATTCATGCTATTCTAGCGCTATAATTAACGTCTACATTGCATATTAGGCTTCAAATCTCCTAAAGAAATTGCAGAGGAGATAGTACCATCTTATCCGAGTAGTGCCACTATCGAGTCATTAAAACACGTTGGTGAAGTAATTAGCACACATCCTCCGCACTTTAATATTCATTCGGGTCTAACAAGAATCTTGAAAACAAGAGCGGCGGCAATTAAGAGCGGCGATAATATTGATTGGCCGACTGCTGAAAGTCTAGCTTTTGGTACATTACTTTTGGAGAACAAACACGTGCGTCTTTCTGGACAAGATGTCGAACGTGGCACGTTTTCACAAAGACACTCTGTCCTTCACGACCAGGAGACCGAGGAGCAATACGTTCCATTGAATGACTTGGGTCATGGACAAGCTCATTTCACCGTCTGCAATTCGTCTTTATCTGAATTTGGTACTCTTGGATTCGAGCTTGGGTATTCTCTAGTAAACCCTAACTCACTTATATTATGGGAAGCACAATTCGGTGATTTTGTTAATAATGCACAATGCATTATTGATCAGTTCATCGCTGCTGGTGAGAAGAAATGGTTGCAAAGAACAGGCTTGGTTGTTTTACTGCCACATGGATACGACGGGCAGGGACCAGAACACTCCAGTGGAAGGTTGGAGAGGTTCTTACAATTGTGTGACGAGCACCCTTACATATTTCCTTCACCCGAGAAGATGGCAAGACAGCATCAAGATTGTAATATGCAGGTTGTATACCCGACCACACCCGCTAATTATTTCCACGCGTTGAGAAGGCAGATTCATCGTGAATTTAGGAAGCCGGTAAGGATATCGTTTCGTTCTCCTTTGTCTACCTACACGTACATTGAAACTAATGAACGATACATTCTTTATGTTAGCTTATCTGCTTTACATCCAAATCTCTTCTTCGACATCCAATGGCGCGATCATCTTTATCCGAAATGACAGGCAAATCTTATTTTAGCCGTTACATCCCGGATCCCCATCCAGATCACCTCGCTCCACCCGAGAAAATCACACGTTATGTTCTCTGCTCTGGACAAGTATATTACGCTTTATTGAAAGCGAGAGAGGCAAACAAGATAAATAATGTCGTGATATCCAGACTAGAGCAATTTAATCCTTTCCCGTTTGATCTCGTGGCCGAGCATATCGATAAGTATCCCAACGCCGAAATAGTTTGGGCTCAAGAAGAGCCTTTGAACTCAGGTGGATGGACACATGTAGCCCCCAGGATTCGTACTGTTGCCAATAACACCAAGCATCATAAAGGTAAGAATTGAAGATAATCGACGTATTTTGTGTGTTGTAATTGCTAACTATGTTCACTTTTAGATAAAGCTGCTAAACCGGCTACTCGACCTCCAACTGCATCCCCTGCCACTGGAAACAAGGTACAACATATCCAAGAGGAACATGAACTATTAGCTGAGGCATTAGTTGGTGGACATGTTGAATCAAAGAATGTCAATGGTGTTCCCGTATGGGTATAGTTAATCGCCGTATAGTTCTTGATATGTAAATGATAGATAATCTGAATAGAATCGCATAATATTATAAACACAAATTTTTAAATTAAATAAAGTAGTTGATTTTAAATTATTGGTTCTATAATATGGCATGCTACTGAGCATATTCCAAATTTCGCACGCTGCCAGCCTAAAACTTACTGATTTGATGAATTAATCTCACGTGCAACATCCATCGAATATATAAACGTTGCACACACGGTACTCATCGATATGAAACAACTTTTGACCCTGAAAAAATTTGTCAGGATGTTAAGAGTTGCATAATATATCATACAGGTGATGAAAGTATGGTACCTGTTCTTCTGCTGGACTGGATATTTTGTGGACACAAGACTGAGCGCTTTTCTGGAAGAAGTCGTGAACACAATGCCTCTTGCCGAAGTGTGCGGCGAGTCTCATAGCCGCAGTGAGCATTTCGAGATACTCGGGCGCGAGTGCTTTTTGAATATTCTTCTCTACTCCTTCCCAAGTGGAACAGAAAGAATACCATCGCTTTTCAGGAAAATTAGAGTTTTAAAAGAACAGTAAACAGAAATATTTATTTTGTATTTGAGTGCTGACTCCCGCCGTGGAGTGCACGGTAGATTGTATCAAATAGTGGGGGAATGCGATGCAGCTACCATATCACTTTAGATTCCCAGCGAACTTAATACTGCTCAGAGGGGGGGGGGGGGGGGGAATTCGCGGAAATCGTTAAAAGGATTGGTCATGTATTAATAAGAAGCAACAGATATATAATGGTTCAGCCGTTGTTTTTTCGATCATACTTTAGAATTAAATTTTTATTCATATTATTTTTATAGAGATACCAATAAAGAACTTACTATTGGTATCGTAGCGGCCCGATCCAACAAGCCCTTTTATCTATTTAATTACGCGCACAGCCGCCTTTTTTAAAATATGACCATTGTTCTTAAAATTTCCATTCAAACATAGCCAAATCAAACGGATATAACATCATCTTATAATCAAATTCAAATAATACTTGATATTCAGTGTCAATGTTTACACACAATTGGTAAAAGTTATGCATAATAATTATGTGAGCATTGGATTCTCGATTGTTGAGTTAGTTATGAAAATCGATTTCGCGCCTTCGAAACATCAAGCAGATTGCTATACGTAAACCCAAAATCGTACTTAATATTTCGTGTCAATTTTTTGCACACACATTGACAACAGCTATAATTAACATGTATGTGAGTTTCGATTGCTGGTTGCCGAGTTGTTAATGAGTGGCGACAAAAATTGATTTCGCTTCTTCGACAAACCAATCATGATTAATAATGCATGGCAATGGAACTGCTGACAGCCAAGAAAAGTTGGTATTTACATAAACTCTTGGTAGTTGTCCTTGTATAGGGAATTTTGCCATTTCGATCCAGTTGGGGGAACACTGACAGGATCAAGAATATTCACCCTGCAATTATGAATATCATACACCATACTAATACTTGTTAATAAAATAGATTATAACCATGCCTCTTACTAGTACTATTACTATTAACATGAGTTTGATGACATATGAAATCAGGTATGAAAAAACAAGGATATGCTAACGCACAATATAATAATATATAAACACATAAACACACAATTTACAAGCACTAATACTTATACACTATGAATACTTAATAAACATGTCAAGACATGTTAATGTCAGGTGTCTTATGAGAAAAAGATAATCAACAATAGTTGATCACTGTGATAACCAATTATACTCAACCTTTTCTCAACGGTTTTTGCAAAGAAAAAACTTTATTATTTAAAAGTTCCCTCGCGATATTAATATACCCTTATTGTTATTATTATTTCATTTATGTCGCACCAACCATAGTTAGTAGGTAAATCCGTTGATCAAGAAAAATGACACTTTTTTGTTTTCAAGATGGTTTCAATCTATCTATGAATACACCATCTGTACGTTTTTATACAGACATCAATGGTAGAGCATTCACCTCGCATGAACACATAACTCGCTCATTCGTCGATGACAAACCCACCTTACAAAACGGACGACCAAACAGTAGAAAATAATCATTCAACCACTCGACTATATCGGCCACCAGATGAGCATCAAACAAAGCGTCACCATGTCCGCAGACGGTCTTACTATCCTTCGACCATACGTCTTGTTCTTGGCCACCTGCTCTCCGTTTTAAGATTTCTTTTGTACAAATTGTTTGAATCCAATAATCTACCATTGGTCTTGGACTTTATCTACCATATAATATACAAATATTCAAGACTTTGACGTGCAAATAAACGCATACAACAAAATTTGTAATAGCTTACTGTATA